GTATAAGCCCTCATTCCCCAGATTCTGCCTGAGGGCATGTAACCTGCTGGGAGTCAGTTTAGATTCCATTGCAGGACTATTGTAATAAATGAAGGATGAATGAAGGTAAAATGGTGGAATCATTTAGGTCTTACTCTTGTTCTTTGCAGATGCAGACCAGTGCATCAGATGTCCAAATGACCATCATCCAAACAAAGTTCAGGATCGATGCATCCCAAAGATTACAGTATTCCTGTTTTTTAGAGAAAAGTTGGGCGTCATCCTGGTTTCCATTGCTTTATTCTTATCTCTGATCACTGGCTTCATCTTAGGAATCTTTCTGAAATATCTGGAGACCCCAATAGTCAAAGCCAATAACCGGGATCTTTCCTACATCATCCTCGTTTCCCTCCTGTTTTCTTTCTTGTCCACCTTCCTCTTCATTGGGCGGCCAAGGAGAGCTACTTGCCTCCTCCGACAAACAGCCTTCAGCATCATCTTCTCGGTGGCTGTGTCTTCTGTCTTGGCCAAAACAATCACAGTGGTGCTGGCTTTCGTGGCCACAAAGCCGGGGAAGAGGATGAGCAGATGGCTTGGGAAGAAGTTCGCCAACTCCATTGTCCTCTCTTGTTCTGCTGTCCAGATAATCATCTGCTCCATCTGGCTGGCTGTCTCTCCCCCTTTTCCTGACTCTGACATGCACTCCCAGCCTAGAGAGATCATCCTACAATGCAATGAAGGCTCTGTCGCCATGTTTTATGTTGCCCTCGGCTACATGGGCTTCCTGGCCACCGTCTGCTTCACGGTGGCTTTCCTGGCCAGGAATCTGCCTGCGGCCTTCAACGAAGCCAAGCTGATCACCTTCAGCATGCTGGTCTTTTGCAGCGTTTGGGTGTCCTTCCTGCCTACCTATCTGAGCACTAAGGGGAAGTCCATGGTGGCCGTGCAGGTCTTCTCCATCTTGGCCTCCAGCGCTGGACTCCTGGGATTGATCTTCATCCCCAAGTGCTACATTATCATCTTAAGACCTGATCTGAATACCAAGGAGCACCTAACAAGAAAAACATAAGGATGCCATCTGAATCTGAAATACTGTATGTCTGGAGTGGTTCATTTATTCTGAAAAAGCAGAGCTCCTTGGAATTGGCATTTTAGATGCTGCTAAAGTAAGTCATTCCCTTTTCTTCCCATCATAGTCTCATAGAATTGGAATGGACCTTAGAGGTGATCTAGCCCAGCCCCCTGTTCACTGCATGATCCACTACAGCATGCCTGACCGATGGCTATCCAGCCACTCTTTGAAGGGCTCTGGAGAGGCTGAACTCATTACTTCACGTTCCACTGGCTGATATCTGAGATAGCCATTGATTTCCTCCTAACGTTTAGCCTGAACCTCCTTCTGTGTAATTTTAACCCACTGGTTCTGGTCCTGCCCTTTGGGGCAACAGAGAAGAAGTCAATTCCTGTGTGTGACAACCCTTCCAATCTTTGAAGCCTGCGATTACATCTCCCCTCAGCTGCCTTGTTGTAGCGTAAACAAACCCAGTTCCTAGGTGTTTTAGATGCTGCTAAAGTAAGTCATTCCCTTTTCTTTCCATCAGACTCATAGAGTTCAAATGGACCTTGGAACTCTGGGCATGTGGTTTCTTTGATCTCCCTATAAGGGTTGGGAGGATGTTTTATTTCATAAAAACAAACATATATAAGTGATATGTGGTTCGCCGCAAAGCACGGAACCCCTTTCCCCCGGGTTCTGCCCAACAAGACCCCAAAGATGGGAATTGGCTGTTCCTCTTTTTATTGAAGCACTTCAAGAAAAAGGACTCCATCTCACTAAAGGGAGAGAGCTCCAAGCAAACTATTACATCTATTTTTATACTTTTGGGGAAAAAAGGGAATAAGCTTAATTGGTTACAATGTTGTGCAGACCCACCTCATTCCATGTTACCTGTGAACATCCCATAATAAGCTTAGCATGTTCTATGTTTTCTAAAATTCCCACCTTTGGGGTGTGTGTGTTTTGCTATGCTAATTAAGCGACGGTCCCCTCTTGGTCAAGCCTCCCGTTTCCTACATCTCTAATACTCCTCCTTTAGGCCAAACCGCCACGCTGTGGTTTTTGACATGACTCCCCCTCGCAAATCTCATCCTCTGACCCAAAGTCTTGTTGCTGCTCTCACGTGAGGGCTCCCTATGTTCTATTCTATTGTTATTTCTCCACTATTACTCTTCAGTTACTATAACAATGTTCATACCGTCCTCCATGACTATTACAATTATGACCTACCACAATCACCTGTGCTCTGTACTACTGCTAGTATGCATCGACATTTCTTCCTGAAGCCTGCTCTGCCTTAAGTCCCCCCCGAGATTTCTTCTTTTTTCCAACATGTAGAGCCCTTGCACCTTTTTTACGTTGTGCTTCACCTCACTGGGCCTCTCTACTTCTCCTCCTCTCTTTTGGGCCATCCACTCCTTCTGAAGGAAAAACGCCTTCGTTTGGCTGCAGCCCCGTTTGCTGGCGGCCACAGAGTTCCGCACCCGTGTCTCCTCCATTCTCCTCCCGCTTCCTCCCACAACTGTGCCACGGTGGCACTTTATTGGCAACCCTGCCGTGCGGATGGTGGGCAAGGCTCCGGAGGTAGGGGAAGAAGGCCGCGGAGGGGCCCGCCATTTTGTTCATGCAGTTGAGGAAACTGGAATCTAAACAGTCTATTTCTGGGTAGAAGCTCAGGGCCCAAGCCCAAATCAAGCGTGCCGAGATGCAGTTCGGAGCATATTTTTAAACACTTTACCCCAAGGGAGTCTTATTCCATTAGTTACAAGAAGCTAGGTTATTTTTACATAACGGTGCTGGGCAGTTTTACCTACTTCCGTGTGGGGGATGCACTTCATTAGCTAAGCTCTCAGCCTCTGGGTGTGTTTTTTACTTTGCTAATCATGCTAAAGCTCTAAGCCAGAGTTCTTCAACCTTGGCAACTTTAAGACGGATGGACTTCAACTCCCAGAATTCCCCAGCTGGCTAACCCTCAACAGCCTTCCTTTCTTCTAATAAAGATAAAATCGTCAAGGAGAGCTGAAGTCCTCATAGCCACGACCATGTCCATGCTTTTTTGTGATAAGAATGCAGAAGGGTTTCCTGTTGCTTTGCTCTAAATGTTTTTGCAGTTTTCCAATTTGTCCTACACTCCTGGGATTTCCTCATGGTCTCTCATCCAAATATTTCCTCATGGTCTACCATCCAAATATCAACCAGCCTGATTCAGTTTAGCTTCTGAGCCCAGGAAGCTGCTGCCACTGGCTGAAAGCTCTCCCCATTTAAACCAGTGTTTCTCAAACTTGGCAACTTTAAGATGTGTGGACTTCAACACCCAGAATTCCCCAGCCAGCATTGGGATTTAAACTGTCACCGAGCCATCCAGCTTCCAACTTAAGTCACACCAGTAATCTATTGGGTTTTATCCATGGAATATGGATGATGATAGTTGCCCAACTCCATAAAGACTCTGGGCAGGGTAAAATATTAAAAATATTAAGAACAAGGAAAAACAAGAAAAGAATGATGCGCATCTGTAGAAGGACGCTTGTATCAACAGAAAAAAATCCTGTACAGAGCTTACCGCTCACACTAACCCAAGGCCTGGGGAAACAGCCAAGTCTTCAAAGACTTTTTAAACATCATCCCAGTGGAAGCCACATGGATGCATATCTGTCCACAACCTTTAAAACAGCTGCACCCCTTCCCAGGAAAGCACACTCTTCTCTGCAGTGCCAGCACGGTCCTGGGAAAAGATGCATTTGGTTGAAGGAGTTCCAGGTAGAGGTGCACCCGTGACCACTCTGAAGCATCTTTTGGCCTTGGAATCCAAAGTACTATGTAACACTACCGAGGAGGCACAACTTGGAACATGCACATACAATATTACAACTAGAGACAAGGGGAAGAGGATGGAAGTCGCTGCTCTCGGATAACGTGAGAACCGGGCAACTGATTTGAAAAGGAGACTCAATAAATTCCTGGAGGACAGGGGTAGTGACTAGGTTCACCTGGTCAAGGAAAGACAATATGCTGAGCTTGTCTGAACTTTGTTTAGTTTGCTTATGCCTTAGCATGCCAGGTCAGTCCATCCCATTTGGTTAGTTTATGCACTAGCTCATTGGACTAGAATCTTAGTTAGTAAGCCAGTTATGATCAGACCTAGATTTCCTGGACTCTGAAGCAACAGACTTCCCATGGAATGGTCCAACAATGCAAATTATAGAAATCAATGCACGAGTCAGAACGGGTATCACAACATCCTGATGCAAATGGTTTATAGCCACATGTGGCTTTGCCAAAGCTTTGCTGCATCTCTCCAGTTCCACTCAAAGGTCTCTCTCTCTCTCCATCAGCCATCAACATCTGGTGTCAGGAATTCCCAGCCCTAACTATCTCCCTGAGTTTGGCTGAGGAGTCAAAAAAGAAAAAAGTTGGCAAGTGAAAATGCAATCCACATGTTAAACAGTAAAGTTAAACTTCAGAGAAATATGGACCTGACCTGTTGACTTTTCAAATCACATTTTTAAATGCTTCTCTTAGATGCTTGAGAATGGGTGCTCCTCTGTTCCAGACCCTCATAGGCCAAATATGAATTTCATATACATCTATTTACTTCATTAAATATTAATCTGCATCAGATTTTTTCCTCAGTTTGCTTTGGCTTCCTTCACCCCCACCTCTATTTTGCCCCCCCCCGTTGATTTTTCTGGTTTTCCAATTTTGAGAGCAGTTCTTAGCACACCAGCCTCCTCATACCCCATAAATGCCTCTCATCACATGCTCAAGATTCACTTGAGAGACCCTGATGGAACAGAAAAACCTTGTTTTATTTCATCCGATGATTGGAGAAAGTAAAAATATTTCTGCTCCGGTTCTGCAGTGGTGGTCTGCACCCCAGTCCTCTGTTGCCACAACTGGTGAAAACATAAGTAGCGAGTCTTCTAGAAGACAGTGTAAGTCAGGCGTATACATTTGGCGTTTTTTCCAAAAAAAGAGGGGATCACACTTGGTTGATTCTTCCTTGGTTTTCTTCCTCAGTCTGTAGATTAACAACTTGGGGTTTTGCCTGGGGGATCTTCTTGCTTAATGGATCTTTTTGGGATCTTCTGCTGTAGAAGAAAAAGCATGAAAGTTGTCAGAAGCTGAGATTCAGTCAAGACTCTTCCCAGGAGTTGCCTGTGCCAGTAAGACTGGGGTTCTAAAGTAGGATTTTGAATGCTTGTGTGGGTGGAATTTATCTTTGTATTATATTGGTCCTTCACCCCATCAAGGATGGTAAGGTGGCCTTTACAAGGGAGAGATTTTCCTTTGGTGACAGCACCCCATGTATAGAATTCCCTCCCCAGAGAGGCCCAACAGATGCCCACGTGAGCACCATGTAGGAACCAGGTGAAGACCTTTTCTATGTTCCCAGCCTTTCAAATTGGCTTTAAACTCATGTTGTTTTAGATTCTGAATGACCACCGTGCTACTGCCTAGTTTATATGGTGTTTTCATTTTGCATTTGATTTGATGTGATTGCGTACATCTTTATTCAAATTGTATTTTTTTTAGTGTGTTTTATTGTCAATCGCCCAGAGAGCTTCAGCTTTTGGGCAGTTTAAAAACCTTAATAAATAAATATAGAAACAATAAATATTAAACCAAAAAATCCAGCCTGGCCTGGGGTGTTTGTTTAACCATGAAAATTAACCATGAAATTTAACTATGAAATTATCCTGCTTTGGAGACATTATGTGAAGACCTAGCTCCCCAAAAAAGGCTCTGATGCTGGGAAAGGTGGAAGGAAGGAGAAGAGGATGACCAGCAGCAAAGAGAATAGACTCAGTTACAGTGATGATGGGGGCGCTGTTGGAAGACCTGAAAGGCCAGGTTAGGGACAGATTGTGATGGAGAAAATCTATGTGGTTGCTAAGAGTTGACACTGGCCTTAAAGTCAATCAATTAACCAGAAAAACAATTGTAAAAATAACCACTGCAAGAGAGGATAAGATCAAACTGGACCTACAAAATCTGCCTTGAACACAGCTCCAGGTTTCCAGACAGAGGCAGAAGAAGCTGGTCATTTGGGAAGCAGAAATATCTGGTTGGTCCAGTGAGAAGCAAAATGCTGGATCAAAGTGGGCTTTGCCTGGATCCAGCACAACCGTTCTTCTTTCACAGAACAGGATGATGTGCACATGTGGTCTCGAGAGAAGTTGCTCTCTCTTGTTCTAACAGTCAGTGATCTTATTTGGTGTGTGTGCGTGTGTGTGTGTGTGAGAACATAGCATTTTTGTAGGAAAACCAGAGTATCCTGTGAGGCCATCCTAGCACCATTCAATCTTGGCTTGTTCCCATGAGAAAGGCTCTGATTTCTATAATGCAGAGTCCCAAGTGAGCTTCTGCCAGATTTGCCCACACACAGATCACAAAGTGGGGTTCTATGCCATTATAACAAAATTCACATTTAAAAAAAAATGCTCCATAGTGATCTAACTACTCTTTTGAAGAGATTGTTTTTAACTTTGCAGAGACAGAGTCAGATAGAATTATTTGTAAGTTCTTGTTAAAATAAAACAACCCTGTAACGATCTTAGAATAGATTTTTTTCTTAGGAAGAGGAGGAGGAGGAGGAGGAGGAGGAGAAAGAAACGTCTGAAACTGGGAATTTTGGCAAGAATCGATTGCTGTTTATACTCCACCTGTGCTGCAGGGGGCGATGTACTGTGAGATGGCTAAATCATCTGAAAACACAAACAAAAGAGGAAGAAGGGTCAGAGGTGCTTTGCTTAATTTGGTCAATAGACACCAGGGTTGCTAGTCCTCATGCTGCATTAGATTGTTTTCAAGAACTGGTGTCAAAACCCTTACCGCTCTGGCAACACATTGTACGTTTTGGGTAAACTTGGAAGGGCGGGGGTGGATTTTGAAAAATAATAAAATTAAGTATGCTATTCAGGCCTGTCCCCACCAGATCCCTTTCTCACCAGTTTCGTAATAATCGTAGACTTTCACCACGGCAGGTTTCAGGCCCTGGACAGGGGTCTCCAGCTCCACCGTGAAGGAGTAACTCTGGATTAGATTGCTGACCTGCAGACCAAGAGAGATGGTGGGATCATTTGAGAGGTGGCCGGACTAGAGTAGAGTCCTCTCCAGTTCTAAAACAGTGCAACCAGGCACAGAGAATTAGTGGAGACCTCACACTTTCAGGTTCCCTGGTCGCCTGATCTCGTAAGACCAAGGGCACATTTTGGCCATGTCCACAGAGGACCTCTGGGGATTGGCTGACTCCCTCCCAACCAAAGAGAAATCAACCACCACTACAGGACATTGTCCAGGGAAGTCCCTGAAGAAAGGAACCGGCTCCAGCTCTCTCTAGGGGATGTCCCCAGAGAGGCCTCCAAGCTCTTTCAGCATCCTTAGGCTAAAAGGGAAGTCCTAGAGTGTATTGGCTGGGGAAGGATGGGCATTGTAGTCCAACCCATCTGGAGCCTTCAGCCTCCCTTATTCCTTGTGTCTTAGAGCTGTGAGATTGTTTTTCTTCCTTTTCTTACTTCAACAGACTGAAGGCATGGAATCCCAAAGCTGGAAGCCTCCTTGAGGCCACCCAGTCCACCCTCTGCTCACTGTGGGAACGCAAATGAATGCATTATTGCAAGAGGGCTAAACAGCTTTTGCTTGCACACATCCAAGGAAAGACAGCCCACCAATTCTCTGGTCCAAACTACCCAGTAAGAAGGATCGTTGAAGTGAGTGAGAAGAGGTTTTCTCCAATGGACTCTTTTCTCTTACCCCTTGTGGCTCCTATCACCAACTGTCCAGTGGGGAGAATCTGTGTTCTTTTAAAAAATATTGATTGTATTTTTATTTGCAATTGTTTATATTGTTTATAAGCTGACTTGGGAGGTAAAGAGAAAGATAGAGACTCCCTTGCATCAAACTCAATTCCTGGTGATTGTAGACCTATGCCTAGGTAGTTTTCTCAATAACAAAACAGTAGTTTGCTTTCTTCCAGGATCTTTTTCCAACTTTCCAATCAAGCCTACTGCCCTCAGGTTTCCTGGTGGTCTCCCATCCAAGTACTAACCAGATCCTTCTTAGCTTGCCAAGATCAGACAAGGTCAGCTGGGTGCTGCCATTCGTTTTGATTACATGGATAGGTTTCTTGGCAACAGTATGAAAGGAGTTTGCCATTGCCTTCTCCTAATATGTTTTTCTCAATTTCTCAGTCAAGCCTGTAGCCCCAGGATTTCCTTGTGGCCTCCTATCCAAGGCCCAAGCTTGCTTAACTTCCAAGCCCAAGATGCTGTCAGCGTTGAGATAGTCTCCTGAAAGGGGCAGGTAATAATAATAGCCTAAAAACATAGTGTGGAGTCTTGGAGCACTGATCTTCATCAAAATAATTTTGTCACATGACTTAGCACCTGTCTTCTTGTACTGGGGAAGAGTCCTCCCACCAGAGCTCTTGTCCATCTGCCCCACTTACCTGGTCCAAGTATAGGAGGATCTGGGTGGTTGCGATTTCGGTCCGTTGGACATGAAAGTGTTTTTCCAGCTGGTGAAAAAGAGGAAAAGCTGGAGTCATAATTCAAACTCTTTGGCTTGGAACAAAGGAAAGGAAGAGGAAACCTCATGGAGGTCTACCAAACCATGCCTGGCATTACTCATGTGGAGGGGAAAGGGCTTTCTCTCTCTCAAAATGGAGAACTTGAGGTAATCCCTGGAGATGAATTGCTGGAAGGCTCAGAACCAGTGAAGTAGAAGTTGGCATTAGGTTAGGCAGGTCAATCACCCAGACCTCAAATACACTTTCCTAGGGAAAATAAACTGTCAACTCAACTACGAAACACTTAAGAGACCCAAAGGAATGTTAATTCAGAAACTAAAAGATAATAAAGCACCAGGAAGAACCCTTAGAAGAAAGCAATGTCTGAACTTTCTTATTCCCCTTTAACTCAAGAAAGCTTCAGTATTCACCCCAATTACCTTACCATTCTGATTTAATTAACTCCCGTGTGCTATAATCTAAACAATCAAATGCTATACTGATTAAATGTATATTGAAATTTGCATAATTCTACATAGAAGGGTTGCATCCTTTCTCCTTTTGACGTTTCATTTTGCCTCCGGTACCGTAACAAACCAATTTGTGCTTCAATGGAATTGTGTGCTAGTCCCCAGTTCTACGTGAAGTGAAAATTCTCCTTCCCTGGCAGAAGGAAATCCTTTTTTGCATAGCCCTTAGTTCAGTTGTGCGATTTGCTGCTTGCCATTGCAGTAACGGCAGCCAGTTTGGAAGGTCTTCAGAAGGGACCGGGAACTGGACCAGCTTAGATGATGAAGAGCTTCTGATATTGACGGCTGTTGACTCCCTCCTGAATCAGGCAATAGGCCTTCAATGGGAAGGAGCCGGTGAAGGGAGGGCCTTGTCAATGTGCCAGATGCATCTGGCAGGTGGGCCCAGGGTTTAATTCAGTTTCAGGCTCTCCTGCTCTTCATCAGAGCAGCAGCTATAGGACTGTAGTGTTGAACAGTAACAACCAGCTCCCTCATGGCCTCCAAACTTAATGAACAGAACAGAGGGGCTTTAAGATGAGACAACAGTGAACCCCTCTGCTCCTAGCAGCTAAATTCTGAGATGCCATTAACTTACTAGACCAAACTTCCCCAACTGGATCGCAACTCCCAACCTTCCCACCCAACACAGCCAATAGATATAGAACGGTGATGGTTGTTTTCAGGGCTTTCCCATTACCAAGGATGTCTAAAAGTTAGTTAAAAAAATTAAGTTAAAAAAATCAACCTGGGAGCCACCATCATGGGATCAAAACCAACATCCTCTTTATGTGCACAATGTCTGCAGACAAGCGTGCTTTCAGAGGACATGAGTTTGGGTGGGTTGGAGATTCTCAAATGTTGAACCTGTTCAATCTCCCCCCCCCAAATAAAGCTACAATTTCATTGAATGAGGATTGGGAAAAAAAGAAATATACCACTTACCAAAAGACATGTTAACTCACATCAAATTTTCTTGACTTGGCTGAGCTTTTCTTTTGCCACCCTTCTCCCCCAAACCTGAAACTTTTCCATTTTGAAAATCCAGAAATTTGAAACAATGGATAAAAATACTGAACTTCACTAAGATCTATACTTTTACTGACACTCCAAAGACTACAGATATATTACTGTCTGACATGCTGGATGACGCCAGCTAGGGCTTCTCACTCTGCCTGTGCAAGCTGGATCAGCTTTAAAAATAACAGTTGCTTGTGGTCCAGTGGATTAGTGAATCCTGCCTGCTGATTTGATGACCACTATTTTTATTGGATTAAATAAAATTTTATTAGAGGGCAAATGAAGGACAGTTCTTAACTTCTTCATGCCCACTTTTGTTACCAAGAGAAAAGATCCTTTGGAGGGGAGAAAAAAGGTCATTACCAACTTTATGGTGGATTTCACTGGGATGTATCCGGACAGCATCTTAATCTCGACAATCGCCATATTGGAGACCAGGCGTTGGCCAGTGTAACTGGGAAACCAAGAAAGGAAAGAAGGCATGTCACATTTCTTTTTAAAGCAAGAAGTGTACAGCTTCAGGACAAAAAGCTGCATGCAGGTTCATAAAGGCTTGGGTGCACTCTCGGGGCCTCCATCCGATGTTGCGATTGAATGGAACCTCTGGAATGCAGAACAGGGGCCTTTCAGAAGGTGGAAGAGCTGAGTTGCAGCCCTTGAACCCTCAGACACTGCCCATCCCTGGAGGAGAGGAAGTGGCTAATCAGCAAGGAGAGGTTCCCCTTTCCCCCATGCATGTGCCCTCATGCTCAGCATTGACCCATTACCTGACGTTGATAGCAATGTCAAAGGTCTTATGGACTTTAGGTCCAGTGCAAGTCTGGGGAACTGTCTGCACAAGCAACTTAAATGGTGCCTCCTTCTGGTGTGGCTGGATGTTGTACCTCAAGCTGGTCTGAAAAGGAAGGAGCACACTCATGTCTACCTCCAAACAGCTGTTATGAGTGAGATGCATGGATAGGATTTGGATGCAGAGGGCCCGTAGAGTGGGAGAACCCATCACTTCACAGAGGCCAGGGAACTGAGTCCAGATACTGCTCAACCTACAGCAAGCACCATTAGAGTTTGTCTGAAGCTAAACTGAGCAAACTCAGGGAGGCAGTGAAGGACAGGAAGGCCTGGCACAATATGGTTCATGGGGTCATGAAGAGTCGGACACGACTTAACGACTGAACAACAACAAAACCCTTCTGAATTGGGCCCCCCGAGACAGATGTTCTTCATCTTCAAGGGCACCAGATAATACAGCTTGCAACCACAAGTGTTGTGCTCACAAGGGTGAAAACAGAGGTACAGTAATGGACTTGAACATTTCCAACCAAAGGTCTTCAAGCTCTATTCTCCAGCTAGGATTGTGGGGAAGCTGAAGGCTATCAAAGTACACTCTGGTCTCCCTCCAGTCCAAGATCCTCTGTATTGAATTCCCTTATCTTATTCACATGTGTTCTTATATACCTTTTCAACCTGTTCTCACAATCTTTACTGGCAATGGAAAGCAATTTCCTTCTTTAGCAGCTGGCTTGGGACACTCACCTGCACAAAGATGCAACCGGTCACCTCAGCCCTGTAGTCTCCTGGCACTTGGGGAAGATCCTGGCACTGGAGCAGCAGAGAGTTGGTGCTGTCTACATGGAATTCCGTCAGGGTGGCATCTCCAGAACTCAAGGTCACTCTGGCATCAACTCCATCCTTGGAATAGGTGGCTATCCTGTACTGGGAGAGCGCCTGGAGGGCCACCACTGTGTCCTGCAAGAGAAAGCAAAGCGAGGGCATTTCTCTTGGGTGACACATCTCAGCTGGGAATCCTGGGAGCTGAGGCTCAGCATATCTGGAGGGCATATCAGGAAAGACATCAGGTCCACCAGTTCACCTCCAATTGGTGCAGGGAGCATTAAAGCATCTTCAACATCCTCTGAGAATCTGTGGGGAGGGAACATACCTGTGTAGATGAGAATCCTCCGTTGGGATTCTGTTGCTTGATCAACCATCTGACAATCGCAATTGCTATCGTTAATTCTTCCTGGGACAGTGCCAGTTTTTTGGTCAGATAAGCGAGGAGCACGTAGGAGGTCATCTCTACCTCTGCAGAGGGAGCACGGTGGTAGTAGGATGGAAGATCAGATGTCTTCTTTTGCTTCCCAGGCCTCTCCCAGTGGATGGAGCCATCCTCTTCAGAAAGGGAAGGAAGGGTTAGCATTGGGTTGCCTGATTCAGGCACCACCAGAGGCCTCCAACACTGGCCAAGCATCTTTGGCTTGCCAAGGACATTTGGTCCTACTTCTTTTGTGTTCTCCACAGTGTTTAACATAAGTACCATGTCTGAAGCTTTGCACACCATTCATTGCCTGTCCTTCCACATTTTCTACTATCTGTTACTCCACCAGGTAGACTTGACCAGGAAATCAGCTTCACAGGAAGGCTCAAACTATCTTTACTGAGATGGGCACTAAGAACAGAATCTTGCAAGACTGATTGTGATGAACCTCCTCCCCCTGCTTGTATCCAGTGAATCAGTGAAGTGCCTGTCTGAACAGCTTCCCAACGTTATCTCGTTGCTCTGGACTTAAAAAATGTTTCAGCCCCTTCTGCGTGGGTAACGGTTCTTGCATATTTCCATCAAGGTCATCCTTCTTACTCTCTACTCTATCCACCCACCCCTCTATCGTTCCTGAGAGGAAAGAGTAAGACAGCTTGGTTGTATATTTATTTATATCTGTGTTTTAACTGTTTTAATTTTTTTTAAAAAATTAATTGTTGCATTATATTGTTTTATATTTTGAATTTGATTGTTTTATTGTACGCCGCCCGGAGTCACGTATGTCAGATGGACGGCTATACACATTAAATGAATGAATGAATGAATGAATGAACAAACAAACAAACAAACAAATAAATAAATAGCAGAGCATCAAAAGAAGCCAAACTCTACAAAAATCCAATAGGGAGTGAAAGAGGGCTGACAAAGTTCCATTGCCCATCAAGCATCACGCACCCACCTTGCATCAAGCACGCGCTTCTCACCTTCCTTCACGGCTATTTTTTGAAGGGAGTCCAACATTTCTTGCCTCTTCTCCTCTTTCCCTGCCAGAGCAAAGGCGTATGCCATCAGAGCCCGGGTGTAAACGTGGATGTCTTTTGTCTGGGCCACCGTCTCCAGGAAGAACAAAGCATTTCGTACCAAATTGTGCTGCCAAAGGCGAGAAATGTAAGGTAGGCAGTTGTGTCCATTTACAAACACTTGATGGGTCTGCAAAAGCTGGTTTGGATGATCAAGCACAACCCGCTGGATCCAGGCCTGTGCCACCCCTGCCCGTAATTCCGTAGGGATTGAGTTCAGCAGGACCATTTTACATTCTGCCTGGGGTATAGTTAGGTGCAAGTGTTTTATCACAGCTTTAAAGCCAGATTTTTGGATCTCAACGCTAATTAATTGCAGTGGTATCCATGGGGAGGTCAAAAAAGTCAAGATGGTGGCCATAACTGTGCAATCGAAGCCTTGTTCCTTTTTATCGTGCATCTTGACATTTTGACCCCCCCCCCTTATAACCCCTCTAATGGATTGATTAATTCCTCCAATCAACTTTTGATTAATTGGTCAATCGCTCAAAGCATTTTGGACATTCAGCTGCTCTGCTCCTCCACTTTGAAGGGTGAAAGTCATCCTCCTGAAAGCAACTTAAGTCTCCCAACGGGGCCATTTCAAAAAGGAGAATCATAACCCGCCATTGCAAATGGAATTTGGTCGACCAGCATATTCACATCATTTTCTTGGCAACGAGACAGTAGCGGTTTGCCCTGAACTAACTTAGAAGACATTTACTTACCGTGAGAGGCAGAGGCATTTCCAGCAAAGTTATGGTGACGTAGGCCGAAAGAGCAGTCTGGTCATCGACCCCACCCTGGAGGAAGGGAGACAGGAAGATATCAGCCCTTCTGCCATCTTTCTTGATCTCTTTCCAAGATCAATATCCCATCATGCTCACACAAAAGCATGATGTGTTTTTTCCGGTCTATGCATAATGTGGCTGTTTCCATCCATTTCAGGACATGCATGTCAAAGTTTCCAACCTCAACCCTCTTTCAGTCCTTCATTGCTACTCATCCCGTGTCTCTTTCTCCTTTTGCTGAACCTTCGTCTTATTTTAGACAGCATAAATCTCTATTTCTGCATCCCAGCACAGGTCATAAGACTTCTCCAACTCAGCACTGTCAAAACCTTCTTGATGCTTAAAGAAGGGGCAACGTGGCTAAGCGATTGAAGGCCATTTGCAAAGCCCTAAGAGGACAGGAAAGGGGGTGCAGAAAATCCACGCCCTTTGCTCCCACCTACTGGTCATTGGGAATTTTTCAGCCCACATATGGTGGCCCTTACTGATTGTAAAGGAGAGTCTTGGGCTAAGAGAGGGTCATCCAGCTCATTGCCTTAAAAAAAAAATTGTTTTAAATCCTGCTCTATGCAAATGTTATTTATTTTTTATTTTTTATTTATTTATTATTACATTTGTATGCTGCCCATCTCCCCCCAGTGGGTGACTCTGGGCGGCTCACAGTTAAAATCAGAAACCCCATCAACCTCCATGGTCTGTGCTAGGTAGATCAGACCAAGAAATCAACTCCACAGGAAATCTAGAACTACACTTTATTGAGATTGGCTATAATAACAGAACCTTGCAAGTCTGATTGCACTGTACACACACACACACACACACACACACACTAGTTTCAGCTTGAGTCTGGCTCCTCTACAAGTCTTGCATTCTGATGCACACACCGGGCCTACACCCTGCCTGCTCTGTGGCCTTGAAGCTTGCTGGTAAAGGGATGAACAAGAATTGGGAAAACCATTTTTGTTATGCTTTCCTTACTGTGAAAATTAATTTTCGAAGGATCAGAGGAACACAACCTGACATCAGATCTGTCCACAAGAGACAGATGGAGACCAGGCCTTCCACCTCAAAGAGAGGGCCATCCAGCTTATCGCATAGCTCCGGCACATGAATTTGAACGTTGATTTCACTATACGTAGGATTCGGGTTTGATACACTACAATCTCTAGAATTCTTCCATAATGGCTTCTTAGTTTTTCTACAATAAAACTACTTATTAAAAGTTCCTGGAGTATTGTTTGTTCATTTAATTGTTTCTGGTCTGGGAGAGATCTGACACTGACCTTATTTCCACCAAAGCCATACTCAGAACTATCATCCAACAAATATCCCCCCTCTGTACCTTTAGAGCATTGTTCAGGAGAGTCCCTGATTGTTGGAAAGAACCATTTTCTGACTGCTTCATTGCCAGTGAAATCTGAGCATCAGTGATATGTTTTTCTTCCACAAAGATAAAGGATCGTGCTTGAGTGAAAGTCTTCAGCACAAAAGCTGTCAACCTACAAGATAGCCCAGAGCATAGGAGAGCTTCATTTTTCCCTTCATAGACCTTGTATCAGGTCTTCTAGTGTGAAGCCTTCTTCAGAATGGGGCCTCCATGGTCCCAAAGGAATTGTTTCCCTCACGCAGAATAAAGAAGACTATTCCTTGAAGACCACCTTGGAAATTCTGAACAATGAATTTCAGATACAGATCTTTTTCATGAGCCGCAGATATGCCCTCCCTTGCCTTGGAGGAGGAAATCAATGATCCTCCAATCCTTTTGAGGGTTCCTTGGATTAAGGATCCAAGGAACCCTCAAGATTAAAAATTGCATCAAGATTAAAAAATGCATACCCCAATTTCTACCTGAAAATCCTTCTAAGTCACACAGAAGAGTGACATGGCTTCAACCCATTTTGCAGAGTCCCCCCCCACAAATGTTAACTGGGTCTTTGAACAGTAAAAAGGTGTCCATCCCTGCATTATTGACTAGAAGAATCCCATCTCTGCTGTGTGTAACATGCTCAGAGGTCAGGCTTATGGACTGCAAGGTACCCCAGATTTTCTGAACATACATCTTATGTTGTCATAAGGTTTTTTTGTATGAGATCCTTGGCATAGGGATAGGACACCTCATCCCCACCCCCACCCCAAATAGGGCTGCCAGCATATTTCACATTCACATTGTTATTGCCCCATATTCAGAATGTTTCTTTACTTCTAAAAAGATTAAAAACTCCCTTGTGCTCAGCTCCTGGAGACTTCACTTGTGTGTCCCATGTAATTATCTTGGCAACAATACAGGTAGTTTTCACTTAGTGACCACTTGTTTAGTGACCTTTTGAAGTTACTACGGTGCTGAAAGAGGAGACTTATGACTGGTCCTTAAAGTTGTGGCCATCACAGCATCCACACGGTCACATGATTGCCATTTGCAACCTTCCAACTTCCAACAATTCTTCCAACAAGCAAAGTCAATGGGGAAGCTGGCAGGAGTCGCAAGTCATGGTCATGTGACATTGTACTTAATGACTGTGTATGATTTGCTTAAAGTCCACAATTGGAACTACCATCATAAGTCAACAAGGTCCCAATTATTGTCGTTAACTGAGGATTACCTGTATGGAAGCTATTTTACCATTGCCTTGTTTCACAAGGGTTTTCCAATGTCCTACTTTAGCCTACAGCCTTCTGATTTTCTGGTGGCCTCCCATTCCAAGTGCTACCAAGATCCAACACTCTTAGCTTTTTTTTTTAATTATTGGGGAGGGGAGAGGAACAGCCAAGTTCAGCATTATTTTTTCACAGAATAAAAAAACTCACCAGGTATTCCCTGGTGCTTGGCTATTTTCTCCAAAGGTGCTGTAGGAACCATCAAAATGCTTGTACTTCAGTTGCCGCTGATAGCCTGAAGCAGAAGATGAACATTAGTGGCAGGCAGACTGGCATGTGTAAAACCCCTTCCAAATCCAATTCAATGAGTCTACTCGACTTTCTAAGTCAGTTTGAAAAGTCAGTTTGATTCAAAATTGGATTAAGCCAATTAGGGTTGATCGATGGCCAGAGACCCCCAAACTCCAACCTGAGCATTAGTTATTGTGCTTGGCTACACCTTCTTTTCCCAACAAACAGCATCTCCCTATGAGATTTACAAGTTTCAGAATATCCAAGGGGATGCATTCCTTTCCAGTTAGAGCCAGTTTCCTTATATTTCTAATTTCTTCCCTGGCATCTCTCAGCCACTCCAGAACAACCCAAAGGAAAGGTATTTGGTTGCCCCTTTTTGCAGAGTGTTCCTGCCCTCTTCTTCCCAACACTTGAAGTATCTCAGCCAGTCAAATCTGTCCTAATTTACAACCTCCTCAATCGATACCAATGACCAATCTGCAGATCAAGCCTTTGAAAGCTCTCAATTTCAGTAGGAAAACAGTGAGAGGGGAATTCCTGTGGGATTGTCCTGGGATGCTTCTCACCAGCCACTAAGTATCCAATAGCCTTGGATTTTATCTCCTCAGTCAGTTGTCCAGTCTTATTGAGATAGTTCAGGATGTAGATATTGGGGGCAAGGAGGGCCATGTTCTGCTCTCCACAGCCATAGGGCATCTTGAGAAGCTGATGGAGGTTCTTTATCGTTCCCCCTAGAATGTCTCCTGAGATAGGGAAAGAGGTGGACAGAAGATAAGAGAGATTAGAAGATGTTTGGAATGGGTGTATTGCAGGTTGGGAAGCTCAAGTCCAGAACCTCTGAAGGAGACACAATGATTCTGAAAGAAAATGACAGTGTAAAGCTGTAGAAGAATGGACATTTAGGCAGACACCTCTGTGTCTCTCTGGCCATTCCCAGAGCAGATACAGTTTAAACGAGGCTGCTGACATTACTTATGGAGACTTGGCAAAAGATATCTAAGCCTGACCCCGTGAGAGCTGGTGTTGCCCATTTCTAAACTGACAACTGAGAGATTGGCTTTTGATAGAATCGTAGAGTTGGACGGTATTGGAAGATACTTCAGAGGTCATCGTTTCCAATCCCCAAGCCCTGCCCTACTTGGTGCAGGATCTACTAAAGCATTTTAGAGAGATGGCTATCTAGCTTCTATTTTGAAGGCTTCCACTTCATGAGGCAGCTCTTCCACCAATTGACACTCTTACCATCAGGAAATACCTCTTAATATCTAACTTGAGTCTGCTTCCCTACCATTTCAACCAATTAACTCTCTTCCTGCCCTCCAAGATAACTGAGAACAAGCCTACTGTTTGCTCTATATGACAGTCCTCTTCCGTTCCAAACAAGTTTTCCTTCCTCAGTTCCATCGGGGTGTTCTGCACCTGCAGCTGGTTTGTTCTGTATTTCATAGATTTGACAAATGCAGCTAGATTTTCCATGCTACTATAAATTTACCAACCATTTAAAGTCTGACAAGATGCTTGGGTTGTGCTTCAAATTATTCCTATAGCGCTGCTTTGGGAATAAAAGGAGGATGAGGAAGCAAATAGGGGGAAAAAGAACGAGAGAGTAAGAATTAGTTCTTACATGGTTAGAGGGAGGCAACCTGATATCAGATCTGACTGTTACCAAAACAAGAAACAGATGGAAAGCAAGCCTCCTGCTCAAAAGAGAGGGTCATTCAGCCCATTGCATAGTCCAGGTGGAAGAAGAAGCAAAAATTGAGCACTGAATTCACTATATACACAATATTGCTTTTGATATACAGCAGTTGTTGGAATTCTTTCATAAGGGCTTAACTTTTTGCAGTAAACACACCTTATCAAAATTGATTCTTATGCACCAGTTGATTTGTTTTCAGTTCAGCCTGCTGGGGAGAAGCTTAAGAGAAAGATGGGGGGGGGGGGGGGAGGGGACAAGGAAGAATGGCCCTGAGGCCCTCAAGCCAAGGAGCATCCAGTTCAGCAATCTATCAGACAGTTGCCAGAGGTTCACTCTGTAAAATATCAGGTAAAACTCCAAGGAAGAAGGTTCAGACTTGATATCAGGAGGAACTTCCTCACTCTGTCAGCTGCCAGCCAGTGGAACAGGCTGCCACGTGAAGTGGTGAGTTCTCCTTCACTGGAGGAGATCTTCAAACAGGCTGTCAGTCAGAAATGTGTACTGCAACCTGCACTTAGTAGGGAGTTGCAGTAAATGACCTCTAAGATCCCTTCCAATTCGAGGATATAATAAGGCAGGTGATGTTTGGGATAAAAGGCAGAAGAGGTATGAAAAGAAATTCTGGAACATAGAAACAGGTAGATTATAGAAAAAGAAGAGATGATGGAGGGGGTGTTGAAGAGCTGGGAGGAGGGCTCTTATACTCACCAAGCACACAAAAGGTGGCCCTGGCAGAGTCTTCCACAATGTTTTCTGGCACCTTCAAAGAAAGAGGGACCGACTGGGGGTCTCCTGCAAGAAAACAGAACTTGGATGGTGCTGGCTGTCCTCCAGGGTTTCTATCCCAGCCGGGGTGTTTGGAACAAAGAGGGACAAATTATGGGAAGCCCTACCCTGCAATGACATCACTGCACAAGCCCCCCCTTTATTTTCCTGTGTCATGATGCCATGACAGGGCGGAGCTTGTGTTGTGATATCATTGTCCATCCTCAGATGCCATAGAAGTACAGCTGGTTCATTGCTTGCCAGCAAAAAACGGCTAGTCAGCCCAGTTGGCATGTTTTCTGCTGGTAATTGCTAATTACTGGCTGGGAGCAGATTAACTGCAATCTGGTGCTGGCTTGTTTTCTGCTGGCAAGGAATAATTAAAGTGTCTTCTTCTTCTTCTTTTGCCACCCTCTCTTGATTTTTTTGTTTTAAAAAATGGGGAATCAAATTATATCCTTTGTCTTCACTGGTATAATGTAGACACTTATACACTCTAGCTGGTCTCTTTCAACATTTGAGAAGAGAGATGGGGAGAGTTCTAGAATCTCCAGGGTCTGAAAAACCACCTCAAACCCTCTAAATTCCCTTAATGAAAAGTGGGTTTTCCATTGCTTGTGCCCCTGATTGCAGTCTCAAGCATTTCCTCCTGCTGTCAAAATGGCCAAATCTTGGTTTTGTTCCACAAATGCTTCCCACCCAGCAGATTCCTTTTTAGATTCCAGCTAGAATGGAATTCAGGAGCAACCCTAAAACAGACTTAAACTGGTTCAAGAGTTTAATCCCTGGGAACACAAGATTCCTCACCAGGATTTCTTAGCATTCTAGGAAACAGGGGCTGACAGGGCTCTTTGATGGAAGTTCCAAATGCTCCACAATTAGAACTTTGATAGAGAGGCTGGTGTATGGATATCATAGATGTTGGGGCTAGATCATTATCATTTTAATCAAAAATGAGAAATTCAGCTGGTTTAAGACAAAGTAAAGTATTCTGATAGGTTGGGGGTTGGGTTAGGGTTAGAGTTAGGACAGTTTTCAAGCATCTTTGGACAGAGGATGACAAACAACTGTCATCATCATATTGCTCAGGAAGCAGGCTTGTTATCCACAGTGCAGCACATAGCTCTGTAAAACAGGGGTAATCAAGCTAGATCATGTTTAGCTGATATCAAAAAAAGCTAAGCAGGGTCAGGACCTGACTACTCCTTGAATGGGAGACTACCAGAAATCCCGGAGCTGCACATTAAATTGGAAAATTTTAAAAAATCCTGAAAAAGGACAGTGGCAAACTACTTCTTTTCCCAAATCCTGGGCGTCTTTATGCACCAAAAATCCATGATTTTTTAAAAGCAGGGGTATACAAGTTCCAGCCACCTGAGGACCACATTAGGCTTTGCACATCAAGGGCTACATTCCAAAAATAGGAGTCGGGGAAGACCTATTTTGGAAAGGAAATTCAAGAGTTTAAAAAGGCAAAATGGATGCTTTAACTATTTGGAAGGTTTACAGTTCTCTTAAAGAAACTTAAGAATTCTTCCAATTTACAAGAAAGGTGGCTAAATTTTGGGCCCCTCCTTTACTTCTCTGCTGTAAAGCAAACCATCCTCTTCCATTTAATGCTGTGACGGGGAAGGAGCACGACAAAGAAGCACCCATACCATGTGCACAGAGAAGTGAGTTGAAGACCACCTCCTTCTCGATCCCTTCAGGCTTCACCAGGAGAGACAGGAAAGAAGAAGAAAAAAGGGAGAGTTAGGCATGAGCATTGGAAACTCTAAAAGGCTGCAGAAATACTGTGCATGCAAAGAAGAACAACAAAGGAAGGAATTAAGATTGGAGAAAACAACAAGGTGAAGAGAAACTAGAGTCTAGGACAATCTTATGATCAGCTATGGCAGTTTACTAATGAGAGTGATTCTTCTGTATCAAGTGGCATGGAATAACCTTCTAAACATCCATTTCTTGAACTCCTATTGTAATAAATGGAGTTCAGACCCTGAAATAATTAAAGGAAAATCTGACTTGACTATCCAACTTCTCCTATCAGTCCTGAAAAATACGCAGAAATATCTGAAGTTTACAAAAATCAAATTCTGAGGTACCAGTCAGGAACCGGAAGATTCGCTCTCAGGTGGGCTTTTAAAAAGAGGAGGAACCAGCTCCATGTTGATTTTGGTCTTTCTTCTTTGTTCCCATCTCTTTCCATGGGCTGAGTGCTAAGCAAGAATGGAACTACAACCAATGAAATCTGGGAAAGTTATGCAACAGTCTAGGAACCAGTGGGCTAGATGTGCTAAAGATTTTATTTTTATTCTCTTAAATGGTGAGACTTTGGTTGTGTGTGTGTGTGTGTATGCATATGTGTACATATGTTCTGGAATGTGACTGATCTCAACCTCCTCAGAGATAACTATTCAATTACGTTTCCTCCCTTTTTCATTTCCTTCAACTCTGTTCTAGTTCTCAGACCTTGAGAGAATTTGAATTCTTAATGAAACAATTCTTAATGACCCTTGTTCTGGGAAAAGAGAATCAGCCTTTAGCACTGGGCCTCCAGCTGGATGGCTACTAAAGGAAAGAAGAAGCAAACTCCTGAATAAACCAGAGCAGAGAAGGATTTCTCTGCAGTAAATGGGCTGGTGGCAGCATTTCTGGATAAGCTCTCCCCAGAAATTATGGGAGGGTGCAGTAGGGGTGTGGTGGAGAGTTTAGAGACCAGGAGGCCAGGGAGCTCCACTGACAACATCCTGTGCATACATGCAGATGTGTGTCTGTTAAATGTACACAAAGCAAAATTTCCTCCAACTGGCCAGCTGAGGCAAGGATCACACAATAATCTGTTACAATATGATGTAGAAGTAGGTTAATTGTCATGAGGGGTTGAGAAGAAACGGAGAGTGATGCCTCTAGGAAAGTGGAAATTACTGAATGAAAATGGATTGGTGACACAAGTTGATTTTCAGGAATGCACCAGCTAAAAATAGACTTTACTGCATTTGAAGCAAGGACATGGTTTTTGTGTATTTTTTGCATGGTTCTTCGCCATTCCTAGTCCATGATTAAAGCATCCCGCATACCTCAACTAAAAGTGTTTTGATCACAGTATCTTTCTGTCCTTTGCTGGGTACTTCCACCACTTCATTCCCACAGAGCTGATCTGAGCTCCGGGCCTCGGCACTTGCCGTGAAATTCACTTCACCTAGGACAAAAAAGTCACCTGATCACAAATGTAATACTTTTGCTATAATTACAGTGATTTTCCACCTTAAGTAACTGCCTACTCTATAAACTCATAGGAGTTTACCAAAGAGTCTGATAGGGTTATGTCTAGCCTTTTGAATATTGTCTCCTGGTAGATCTCTTCCTTTGGGGGTTATCCTAGAAGATGTATTCACACAACTTTCTTACCCAAAGACTTTTCTTCACCCAGACAGCTGATAATCCAAGCAGAACTGGCAGCTGGCCACACAAACATGGGTCAAGAGAAATGACCATGGATCATTTCAGGGAACTATCGAGCTTCCATCCCATCCACTTCTTCCAGTCTACCTGGTATCATTCCATGAACTATTGGGTCATCAAAAGACTTTCCCTATTGGTCAGGCAGCAGCCTTGGGCATGGCTTGGGTACCCTAGCCAATCAGTGTTTGAGAAATGCTCTGGACTAGGAGGCCTTGGCGGTGATTTTTGTTACAGAACACCTTGTATTTTTCAGCTGTTCTTCATTTCCATATCTGTTCTTTGGAGGATTGAGTGAGCAGGGCAGAGTTACTGGGTGGTTGAATTCTTGTAACATCCTTGAACCTTATCTGACTTGTTAAGTGTGCTGCATGAATTTTGTCATTATCTCAAACAAGTAGGTATTCTATCTAAGAATGCCTGGTCAACCCTGATTTTATTTCACATAAGACATTAAAAAAACAACAACTAGAAATTGGATTGTTGTTGTAAGCCACCATGAATCTTGACGATTCTGTGGCATACAAGTTTAAACTACAGTCATCACCACCACCACCACCACCACTATCACCATCACCACCATTATCCTCTTTTTCAGCCTTACAACAAGATATAAGACTATGAAAACATTAGTCATCTCTTAAAATTTCTCTTGATCCATGAATTTGGAAGATCACCTTTTACTCCCTGACCCCAATTCACTATTTAGGGTTACTGCTTACCTAGAATTTTGGGGGTCACCATCCAGGACACCGTTTTCCTTCCATTTGCACAAACACAGTAAAATTCTGCCTCCTTCTCCACAGAGGTTGCCTCAAAGTCAGCAGAAGGAGCCAGAGATATTGTGACCTGTCCGTGAAGAAAAAGATGTCAATGAGAAAGCAATGTGGTAACTCTCGAGTGGTACCCCTCCAGGGAAGGACTCATAAAAGGAGGAGGAAGAAGAAGGTGAGGTGTTCAGTAGATGATGAGAAGTTAAGATTGATATACATGGAGAGTTTCAGACAGAGAAAGGCTAGATTAAGCCTTGGTGAGTGTTGATGGGATTTTTTATGAAAGGGAGAATCTTCACCTGGGTCTTCTGAAGGACAGTGGAGTCTGAAACATCTGGTCAGCAGATGATCCACTCCAGCCAATGATAGGGCTGGCCTTGGGAAAGAGCGTCACTCAACCTCACTTCTGTGTCCCAAATTTCTCTGAATTCCTGTTGCTGTCCTTGAACAAAGACTACATCGTTCAAGGAAAGTAATAGTAGGAAGAGGGCTGAGAAGGAAGCAGAGCCACAATTCTGCTCCCCCTTCCCGTATTCATGGTTATATGGTAGAATATGCCAATAGCCACATGGAGCAGGAAAGAAAATCTGTACAATGAAGGCAAAAGAAATTAAATGTACACGCTGGGGAAAGTAAAATTAGAAAAATGCAATTATGGAAGCTTATAGGAACATGAATTCAGATGAATTCAGATACATGAGTTACAAGAAGTTTTCTGTTTTACAAACTGGATAGAGCAAGTCAAATCTTTGAACTTTGGGCAGTTTGAAAGCTTAAATGCAAGCATCGGACAGCTACGAAATGGAGAAACAGAGAGACGTGCAGAGAAAAGAGGACATTTCGGACATTGGAAGGAAAGGTCTTGCAGCAACTGTTAAGTGTTCCTTACCTGGATGCAGTGCATCAGGTAGGAGAAGACAGTGGCTTTGAGTGGGAAGGCTTCCCCTCGCACCACAGAGTATGGCAAGGTCAGTTCAATGAAGAATGGCTGGAAGGCCTTCAGAGAAGTGGATTGGGCCAGGCCAAAGCCCGTGTCTGCTGACAGACAGAAAGCTCCAGCTTTCCATTCTGTGATGGTGTCCGGGATGGTCACAGGAACAGCCAGCTCTTTAGATGCATCACCCTTGCTACTGGACTGATGTTGCTGGATGTCCCTCTTTGTCTCATAACCCCTGAAGGACAGAAGAGATCAGCAAGTGAGGAAAAGGATTCCAGAACCCTTGCACTAAGCAAACCAATGCAGGGACAAGACATAGCATCTCAATTAGAGGTAGCCCTCAATTAACAATGGGACTGGGATTTCCATCACTAAGCAACGTGGTCATAAAGCATGATGGCAAGTGACCATGCTGCTTAGCAACGGCAGTTCCAGCACTTCCAGTTGCTATCATTAAGCAAATCCCACAACGTTGTTAAGCATGAAGTCATGTGGTTGCCATTTGCAACCTCCTGCTGGCTTCCCCATTGATTTTGCTTGTAGGAAGCTGGCAAAGAAGGTCGCAAATGGCAATCATGTGACCATGGGGCACTGTGATGTCATAATTGTGAGCTGGGTGCCAAGCACCTGGATCATGATCATATGACCATGAGGACACTGCAACGGCCAGAACTTCAAGGACCGGTTGTAAGTACCACTTGTTCAGCATCATTGTAAGTTTGAATGGTCACTGAACAAGTGGTCATTAAACAAAGAACACCTGCATTTGCATTGTCTTTTCAAGACAGTTTCTGAATCATCTGGGAAATCTTTTTCTAAAGCAATTCCTATTCTTTTGGCCTCCAAATAGGATGAATTTTAAGGACTGAAGCAAATGGGATTGATGGAATGGTTCATACTGAGGAAATTGCACTCAACAGGGCCTCAGTGAGGGAATTAAAAAAGGTCAAGATGGTGGCCATGAATGGATGATCAAACCCCTGCCCATTTATTGCAAGTTTTAAAGGGGTGGGGCTTTTAATCTCCCCATGGATGCACCTGGAACTCATGTGGAAGGTAAAAGATGATGTGAGGGAGAGAAATTAATTAGTTAGGATGAATATGAGAGCATCTAATTTTACATTTTCAAAGCAAAACACAACCCAAAAGTTTGTTATCATTCAAAATTCTCAATTCTCTGAAGTTTGCAGTGTGGTTTTCTAATAACAAAAACAATATAGAGTAATGAAAAGTTGGTTCAAAAATGTGTAGATTCGTGAAATCAATGTTAGAACAGCCCATTTAGGCCTCTGAATCCAACCTCCTGCAAAATGCAGGCAATCAAATTAAGGTGTCCCTGACACCTTCCCTTCAAACGAGTCCCATAAGGGGTGCCCACCACATCTCAGGATCATTGTTTTCTGTGGCCCTTGTAGGCTGTCACTGCTCTTGTCAAAATGACCAGAGCATCCTTGCAGTCTGATGACCTTGGAGAAGCCATTAAAGACAATCTCAGGTACATTGAGGCAAGAAGGTGGGAAAGTATTAGAAAAAAGACTCAGTCGAGCTTCCCCTGACTCCCTGGAGTACAAAAAGGGAGGGAAGGGAAAACACAGGAGACTTGCAAGATTCTGTTACTATAGCCTATTTCAATTTCAATTTCAATGTAATTTAATTTAAATTATTAAATTTGTTATAGCTGGGGGAACCAGTCTGAGTTTCTTCTAATATTTTCCCACCTCCCTGGGCTCAACATAAGCTTCTGCACCTGAGGTTGTCTTAATAGCTTCTGGTTGATTTCTCCAAGGTTGTCACAGCACCCCTAAGAAAGGGGTATGGCTTGTATCACAACATCACACTGCTGCAAAGACCCTGCAGGCTGGGGTGAGGTAGCTTAAAACATGTGGGCAGCAGCAAATAGTACTGGGAATATTTTCTGAGAAGCTTTATCAATGAATGGCCTGCTCTTTTGCTGTCTGACACCACCACTTACTTTAATACCACCGTATTCCATATCCACGTCTCAGGGAAGAGACTTCTGATAGTCTCAGTCTCGGTATCAGGAGCGATGTTTCTGGGGGCAGAAAGTACACTGTATGCCACTGGTCCTGGGGGACCTGCCATTCCTCCACGGGGAGACTCTAGAGGGAGAGACTCTGAAAGAATGTACATTTATTCCACCTTAGTAGTAAAAACCGATGACCCTTGACAGACCTGATCTCCAGGAACTCATCTCATCTCCTTGAAAGCCATACACGTGAGTGCCCATCACCACGTCTCTTCTGGAAACGAGTTCTACAAATTAACACTGAGCTGTTTGAAGGACTCCTTTTGGTTGCTCTTCAAAAGGAACACACTTCTTCATATAGCACACAATTAAACTGGAGAATTTGTTCTCACAAGATATGGTGGTGGCCACAAATTCAGGTGGCTTTAAAGAAGATTAGATAAATTCACAGAAGACAAGTATAATGAGGGTTATCTGTCCTGAGGATTCCATGTTACCTCTGGATTGGGGGCAACATGAGCTCCAAATGCTCACTGGTGGGAGAAGGGCAGGTTTCCATCCCCTGCTTCCAAGCTCTGGTTGGTCATTGTGAGGAATGTGGGCAGCAATGGTTGTTGGCTTGATCCAACACACAGCTGTTTCTATGTTTCTTTGGAAGCAATGAAAGAGGCTGTTGATGGCTATGACTGTCTTTGAATGTCCCTGAGAAGACATGGATGTTTCAGTTGGATTTTGCTCCAGAGTGTCCTCTGAGCATTCGGTGTTGCTTGGAAGATGAGTAATTTCATGAACCCAGGCGGAAGAGGATCACTGTACTGTGACAGTCACTTTACAGTTAATCTGTGCTAGAAACAGGGTGAAAGAAGCCAGCTGGTTCCTAATCCTAATCCTAATGTGTCTTGGAAACCAGAAATCTCCCAGAAAGCTAATGCATTTGTCTTGTCTTATGCTCCAATAATAAGACAATAATAGTAATGATAATAATGCCTTTGAACTGTGGTGCTGGAGAAGACTCTTAAGAGTCCCCTGGACTGCTAGGAGGTCAAACCAGTCAATCTTAAAGGAAATCAACCCTGATTGCTCATTGGAAGGATTGATA